TCTCATCATCGCCGCAGCGACCGCGCAGCATCCCTCATCGTCGCCACAGCGACCGCGCAGCATCTCTCATCATCGCCGCAGCGACCGCGCAGCATCCCTCATCCAGCATCCCTCATCGTCGCCGTGGCGACCCCGCAACATCTCTCATCATCGCCGCAGCGTTCGCCCAGCATCCCTCATCGTCGCCGCGGCGACCGCGCAGCATTCCTCATCCAGCATCCCTCATCGTCGCCGTGGCGACCCCGCAACATCTCTCATCATCGCCGCAGCGACCGCGCAGCATCCCTCATCCAGCATCCCTCATCGTCGCCGTGGCGACCCCGCAACATCTCTCATCATCGCCGCAGCGTTCGCCCAGCATCCCTCATCGTCGCCGTGGCGACCGCACAGCATCTCTCATCATCGCCGTGGCGACCGCGCAGCATCTCTCATCATCGCTGCAGCGACCGCTCGCAGCATCCCTCATCGTCGCCACGACGACCGATCGCAGCATCTTTCATCGTCGTCGTTTCTTCCCGCAGGATGCGTCCGGGAGCGGACGAGGAGGGTCGCGTCGCCGAGCTGAGACACGACGTCGCTCGCGTCGAGACGCAGCTGCAGGAGATCCGCGAGACGCTGCCTCGCAAGAACGGGTGAGTGCCGCCGCCTCGCCGCATGCACGCCAGGGGGCGCCTCCGCCTCCCGCGGCGCTGTCGTCGCGGTCGGTGTTGCCGCGGGCGTCCTGCTAGGCGTTCTGCTTCTGGTTCCCGAACCTACGGCGTAGTTCCGTGCCTTCATAGGTGTCGTTCTTTTACTGACGGCGCCCCCTGGTGGGGTTGTGCGGTTGTCTGTTGCTCATTGTGTAAACAGACAGCGCCCTCTAGTGGGGCAGCATGGTTCCTGGTACTTAAACTGACAGTGCCCCCTGGTGGAGCAGTATTGTTCCTGGTACTTGAAGTAACAGCGCCCCCTGGGGGGCAGTACGGCTCCTGGTACTTGAAGTGACAGCGCCCTCTGGTGGGTTCATGTGCTACGCTATCCCCTACTAGTTGCTATTCGTGAACCGGCACTGCCCCCTGGTGGTAGCCAGCAGTGGGGGTTCGGAGGTCGTTGAAGTGTTGGTTCCTTCTTGCCACGTCCCATGCTGGTTCCCTCTGCAATCTGTTTTGCAGCACGATAGTGTGAGGCTGTTGGGATCAGGCTCACCATGATGCGCCGTCATGTAATATAATGTAACGTGGGCATGATGTACGAGCGTTCGTGTGCCGCGCGCCTCGTTCCGTGCTCACGTAATCAGTCGTGGATGATGTTTTCGTTTTCTCGAATAGGACCTACCTGCAGATCATCGTCGGAAACGTCAACGTGTCCATTCTCAACAAGGCGGACAGGTAAGTTGACGTCATCTCGCCCACCTGTAGTAGCTCGTTAACGTGGTAACGATAGGTAAGCTGATTACATTCCGCACACATGTGGCCCGTTGTTATCGTACAGCAGGTAAATTCAACCGTTTATCCATCCCCTTTCCCCCTCATTAGGCCAAAACAAAATATAGGTGTGGTTANTCTCTCTCTCTCTCTCTCTCTTAACTTGTGAATTGCCCTTTTGCTCACTAGCAGGGTTCCGTCAATGCTGTCTGTTTCTCTTCCTGGATATTAGTATCTCGTGAGAACAGGTCTTGTAGGTAGCAGCAGGTCTAAGAAATAGTTGATGTATCCTTTCTGATAAATAATTACTAAATGCATCCATTGTAGATGGCAGCACTGTCCGAGAAATAATTAGTTAATGCATTCATTGTAGGTGGCAGCAAATTTGTTTAATAAAAAATCCTATATAGAGAGAAACTTGGCTTCTAGGTGGCAGCAGCATTGGCATTACATCTTATTAACGGACAGGTATTGAGCGATCGCCATCTTAGCAAAAGAACGATCGTCGTAGACAGCAGCACTGTTAACTCAATAATCGCCCCGCAAAGCGAGTATCCTTCACAAGGTGGCAGCACCGTAATGTCGTCTCGCGTCTCGTTGCCAGGGTCCTGGACGCCATCTTTCTTTTCTTGCTCGTCTGGTACTACTGCACGCTGACGATTCGCGAGAGCATATTACAAGTGAACGGCTCTCGCGTGAAGGGCTGGTGGCGCGCGCACCACTACATCTCCACCGTGCTGAGCGGTCTCATCATCACCTGGTAATTAATCAATTAATTACTAGTGATCGTTAGAATTAATTAATTAGTGTGATTGTAATTAGTATTCAATCTACTAGTGTGTATACTAGTCGTCTATCTACTCGCATACATCTGATGTGTTATACTTAACCAGGGACCTTTTGTCAGAAACAAACTCGTGAAGTTAAGGTTAATGTTAAGACTAATTTTGTGTCGGACAATACGCCCCCATGTCACACAAAATTATAATTTATTATAATATTATTTTATTTAATTTAATTAATATTATCAATATTATAAATTTATTATTATTATAATATTAACATTAACAGTCTTAACATTAACTTTTTCTCGTAGACCATTATCAAAATTAGTGGTAACATTTTGTTGCACTAGCAGTGATTGGTGGCTAACACTGCTTCCGTGTGATTTCAGGCCTGACGGTCCGGTGTACCGCTCTTTCCGAAATCAGTTCATGTGGTTTTGTCTGTACATAGGTAAGTGTCCGAGTCGCTATTGTCATGAGAGAGAGAGAAGCAACACGAGCGAGAAGCGAGAGAGAGAGCAGCATGAGAGAGAAGAGAGAGGAGAGAGGAAGAGAGCGCGAGATAGAGAGAGAATAATTATATATCTATACAGTAGTGTTAGAGCCAAGAGGCCAAGAAAGAAAGAGAATCTATATATTACATTAGTCATCACAACAGTGATCCCCTACCGCAGTGCGCCGCACTAACCATTTATGTGGTTTACTACATATTGCCAGCTTATACGTGCAGGCTCTTCACATATATACTACCCCTATCACTATATATATATATATACTAATATATACATAATACATATACATATATACATATATATAGTCATACATAGAATTTCATAGTTGCGGCTATATGCAGCGTCTTCCAATTATATAGTATATATATATATATATATATGATATATATTATATATACTATATACATATACCAAGTATATTAATAGCATACATATATATATATATATATAATATATATATATATTATAATACATGATTTGCAGCTATAGTGCAGCTCTTCCAATACCAATACCAGCGGGGATGTCTCTACCGACTCAAAGCTCTGGGAGAGAGACACAACATGGACATCACAATCGGTGAGTGTCTTCTCCGACTCCTCTTCTAACAAATTTGCGATCACATGTACCTTCTCCCTTAGTATTGTACCTCCTCCCTTATGTAGGTTCTTTGTACGAGAGTTAGTAATCCGCTGTATATCCTGTTGATACTGCTAGACAAAAGAGGAGATTTGAAAAACTGGTTGCTTAATAGTGTTTTTTTTCCTTCTCGCTGTTGCCGCGGTTCTGTTGTTTAGTTTGTTTACGTTCAGTCGGGCGTGAAACTACTTACACCTTGTAGTTGCTTTTGTTGTCAGTTCACTCGCCTGTCCTTCTCGCATGTCCTTCAACATAATTAAGCTTGCCTCACTATCGTCGAGTTTTTTGTTGTCTTTTTGGCGTGTTCTGAAGGGCTGTCATGACAAAACCTGTGCGATGTATGACCGCCGTTAGATACAATAATGTAACCCAAACCCAGGGGTAGGGTTACATTATTGTATCTAGACCGCCGTGAGCGCGTGTGTACGTGCGTGCATGCGTCGGTGCGCGTGTGCGAGTATACGTGCGTGCGTGAGTGTGTGCGTGTTTGTGTGTGTATGTGTGTGTGTGTGTGTGTGTGTGTGTGTGTGTGTGTGTGTGGTGCGTGTTTGTGTCGTGTTGTATGCGTGCGTGCATGCGTAGGTGTGTGATGTTCACGTGTGTGTTTGTGGTGTGTCCTGTGTGTGTGTGCGAGTATGTGCGTGTGTGTGCGTGCGTGCGTGCGTGCGTGTGTGTGTGTGCGTGCGTTTGTGCATGCATGCATGGATGCGCGTGTTTGAGTATACGTGCGTGCGTGCGTGCGTGCGTGCGTGCGTGCGTGCGTGCGCGTGCAACCTTGCTCTTCACAGCGCATCACTGACGTCTCCTCTTCTTCTCTCTGTTATTTCAGATGGATTCCATCAGTGGATGTGGAAGGGCCTCACCTTTCTTCTTCCGTTCCTCGCCATCGGCTACGTAAGTTTCCTTCCATTGTGTCGTGTCTTGTCCATTGTCCAACTGCTGTCTGCTGTCGGCTGCAATGATGATGATGATGACGACGACGACGATGTTGATGATGATGGCAGTGGTGGTGGTGGTGGTGGTGGTGATGATTTTAATGATGTTGATGATGTTGATGATGTTGATGATGACGATGATATAACATGATTGTTATATTACGTAAAATGATATATATGTATATATGTATATATATATATATATTTATTTATTTATTTATCATAGTAAAACGACGGGGGGGGGGGCACAATATTACAAGCGAAAGGACGAAATCCCGGGAGAGAGAGGATAAGCTCATGATTTTATCCCCCACGAAACTCTCCCGAACCTCATGTCTTTGCCCCCTATTACCCTATTCATCCTATTTATCCTATTTATTTATTCAGGACGCGAGTGATTGACAACCCATCGACCAGAGCCGGTAGACTCGAAATTTCGAATTCGAGAATCGGAAATTGCTCCGGCCATTAGTCGCGGAGCTATTTAATGTATTGATCGCCACATCGATCCCCTCCCCTTCCCCTCCTCTCATCCTCTCTTCCTCCCATTCCCTCCCCTTCTCTCCCTTCCCCCCTCCGCCTCCCCACTCTACTGAGTCCATGAATATTTTTTTTCCTCTCCCCCTCCTCTCATCCTCCCATCCCCTCCCTTCCCCCTCCCCCTACCGAGTCTATTTCCTCTCCTTTCTCCTCCCCTCCCTTCCCTTCCCCCTCCTCCTCCACCGAGACCACGAATATTTCTCCACCCTCTTTGGTGCGGCCCACGCAATTACCCTGGCTTCGTGCCAAGTATTCGCAACTGCTACATCCTTCTCCACCGAGGATAGGGTGTTTCTGATGATGAAAGGTCGTAATTCACTCACTGACGCACACACGAGCGCGCGGGCGTGTAGCATCTGCTGCTGCTGCTCTTACGACACTCTCTCTTTNCTTTAGAGCCGCCCTCCCGATGAGACGCTGCAGATGAGCCCCGACGCTCTGCGGCTTTGTTTTGTATTGTGATTGGCTAACATAGTGCGTGTGTGTGTGGCGGTGTTAGTGATGTGTTTTGCCTTGTGTTGCTAACATAGTGCGTGTGTGTGTGGCGGTGTTAGTGACTGTGTTGTGTTTATCTTGTGTTGGCTAACATAGTGGGCGTGTGTGTGTGGCGTGTTAGTGATGTGGTTTTTATCTGTGTTGGGCTAACATAGTGGCGTGTGTGTGTGGCGGTGTTAGTGATGTGTTTTTATCTCGTGTTGCTAACATAGTGCGTGTGTGTGTGGCGGTGTTAGTGATGTGTTTTGCCTTGTGTTGCTAACATAATGTGCGTGTGTGTGTGAATGTGCGTGTGTGCGCGCCACGTGTGTGTGTATGTGCGCGCACGTGTTGTGTGCTGTTTGTGCGCGCACTGTGTATGTGCGCGCACGTGTGTGTGTGTGTGTGCGCGTGCGTGTGCGTGCGTGGCAGTGTTACTCATGCGTGTTTTCCCCTCCGGTTGCAGGTGTTTCAGCTGTATAACGCCTACGTATTATATCACCTCAGCTTCGACCCACAGTGTCAGGAATGGCAGGTGAGTATATTATAATATATCATCAGGAGTGTATCATATAGACTATATACTACTATATACTACTATATACTACTATATACACTCTATATATACTCCTGATATCATCATTGACGGGTAAGGGACAGGGTGGGTGGCGAGTGAAGAGTAGGGTCAGGGTTAGGATCAACAAATTTCACTCTCGCCGTGGGGTGTTTGCCAGTTGGCTTAAACTGACGGTCTCTTTCCCTTCTCCTTCTCTCTCTCCACCTCCTCTCTCTCGCTCTCTGTCGCTCTCTACCTCCCGTTGTCCCTTCCTACTCCCTCCGTCCCTCCCTCACTCCGTCCCTCCCTCCCTCCTCTTTATGGTCAACTATTAACCCTATCTTTACTCGCTCTCTCTCTCTCTCTCAATCTCTCTCTCCTCTCTATCTATCTTTTTACTCTCTCTCTCTCTCTCTCCCGCTCACCATCTTTCTTTCTCACTCTCTCTCTCTCTTTCTCACTCTCACCCTCTTCCTCTTTCTTTCTCACTCACTCTCTCTCTTTTTCTCACTCTCTCCCTCTTTCTTTCTCACTCTCTCTCTCTCTCTCCCTCTTTCTCACCCTCTCCCTCTTTCTTTCTCACTCACTCTCTCTCTCCACTCTATCTACCTTTTTACTCTCTCTCTCTCTCTCTCTCTCTCTTTCTCACTCTCACCCTCTCTCTTTCTCCCTCTTTCTTTCTCACTCTCACTCTCTCCCTCTTTCTTTCTCACTCACTCACTCTCTCTCTCTCTATTCCAGGTTCCCGTGTTGAGCTTCATCTTCCTGCTGTTGTTCACGGGGAACACGCTCACGATGATCATTGTAGTGAAGAACAAGGTTCAGGAAGTTCTCCAGCGGCCGGGCAGCAGCACCGACCGCCTCAAGAACAAGTACAAGATGGCGTGAGCGCCGCTGCGCGCCTGCAGGGGGCGCCACTGCAGCGGCCGGACAGCAGCACCGACCGCCTCAAGAACAAGTACAAGATGGCGTCGCCGCCACTACGCACCAGCAGGGGGCGCCAGTGCAGCGTGTGTGTCAGCGATGTATATTTAGTACAGAGGGTGCTGTACAAATTGTAAGAGAGAGAGAGAGACAGAGTAATGCAGAGGGAGGCGCCACACTGTGCAGAAGTAATACAGTAGAGGAAATGTAGGGGGCGCCACACTGTGCAGAAGTAATACAGAGGCTGGTAATACAGTAAAGGAAATGTAGGGGGCGCCACACTGTGTAGAAGTAATACAGAGGCTAGTAATGCAGTAGAGGAAATGTAGAGGGTGCCATGCAATGCTGTTAGTGTAGAGATGATATATGCCATTAGTGTGAACAGGGTTCAGTACAGGTGTTAAATTGTTTTAAAGCCATCTATGACAATCTCCGTAGCTTTTGAAGTCGCAGTGTATCGGCGTAAATATATGTTGTGAACTGTTTTGAGATTCCCCCAATCATACAATATTTACACCGGGGAGAAATACACATTTTTCCGGAAATAGCCGAACGGTTCCGAATCGTACCAAGTCAGAACGATTTGTTTCGTTTTTTTATATTTAAAAAAAATATTTTCCTGTTTAGGGTTAGGGCTAGGGTTCATGTATACAATACATGTGTACACATGTGTGGAAAATGTGTATTTCTCCCCGGTGCATGATTCCAATCATACAGCTAGTTGGTCGTGGTCAACGCGGTGTTGGCAGAAAGATGCGAGGGGTTTAGGGTTAGGATTAGGGTTAGGTTTTTTTTATATTTAAGTGCCTAGTAGTCATATCCTAAGTGCCTAGTAGTCATATCATATCGCATCTATCTGCCGGGTGCGGTCAACGCGGGGTTGCAGCGCCATCTAGTGCACGAAAAATGTATGAACGGCTGTTAGGCTTACCGTTATAGAATTATAGTTATCAAAATGTGCACAAAGTACGTAGCTACCGACGTAGCTGTTGCAGTTGTACAATTTCGTTGGACCACTTATTAATAATTAACAGTGTATTAAGGTAACAGTTTAAAAGTAGTAGGTAAATGTTTTGCTGTGTCAGTTGACGCAGAAATATCCCTTGCTGTTGTTCGCAACAGTATCTTACAGTGCTTAGTTACCGTTCGCTCTACCATAGAAATAAGATTCTAACTAATTCTCTCTATATATATAATACGTAGAAGGTAATATCGTCTTCCTATACGCGAGTTATGCCGACTCCAAGGCATTGTCCTGTCTACCCACTGATCTCTGTAATACTTGATATGTACTTGAACTATATTACTGTGCAATGATGAACTAATATATATTAACTTATTATTGTGCAATTGCGAAGTGGAAAAGTACTCAATTAGTATCTTAGTATATATTGATCAGTGTGTGTGCTTGTATGTGTCGCATGGAATAAAAACGCAATGGACCGCAATATATTAGTTGTGTTTCAGATTTTTCGAGAGAATTTGATTTTTTCCCTTTACAAGAACGCGTGCAAATTTAATGGATACCACACATTTCTCCCGAATCTTACATGGGGTGGGGGATGGGGAGAGAAATAGGCATCCCTGGCCGCTGCTAGTGCAATGTAACCACTTATCTCAATATACAAAATGTAACTATACTTAGTATCAGTATATATAATCTAGGGCCAACCTAACACACGAGTAAACTTCTTTTTGCATTATATGAGATACTCACACCACGATGGTTCATTATAAATGCAATGTCAATTATTAATAATATACCGAATATTATTTCAATTATTTACTAGCCGTGTGTCATCGGCGAAGGCAAGTTCAATATATCCAGGGCCGTAGCAAGAGGGAACGAGAGAGTGAGGGAGAAAGAGAGAGAGAAGGGGGGAGGAGGTGGAGAAAGAGTAGATGAGAAAGGGATAGAGGAATTTTGCATCCGCAATTGTACTGTTATAATACGCGGTGTGCGTATCGCATCCTTAACGTATTATGAACTTTGCCCCTTCAGGGAAAATGAATCGATCAACTACGGCACTGATATCTGGGAGGGTGGCAAGCCGAGGAGCCGAGGCTGCGTGACAAGAATTGAACTCCTGGACTGTTGGTACCAAGTTTAACAGACTATGCAGCGTCACAGATTTCACCGTTACAGAAGTATATGAATATTAACAGTCAAGATTTTTGTCAAGATTGGATGTGCTTGTATGTTTGAACGCACATGCCTAATACATTCTATTTCAAAAGCAAAACTAAAAGTATTTACTGCCAGCTTTCAACAGAAAAAAATTAACGTACGAAATTAATTTACAAAATAGATATTCCCAGTTATTTTCGCCATTCGTTATAATCAGGTAAACCTGCGATGCGTTAGTCCTTTCTTTCCGATCCCAGACAACAGAGCTGGTGTGATGCGACGTATTATTACTTTTGTTAAGTTGCTCTTTTAATACAAAACACTATTCAATTCAACTCCAAACAAACAACGCAACGTCACAAAAATTCATATTTTTAAAACCACCATTTAATCATCTCGCTAACTCTACAAATACCGCATGCGGTCACACGAACGAACAACACGACAACGAACAGATAAAAAAACACGATTTCAATAAGCAGGAAGAGGAAAAGGGGAAGGGGAGATGCAGGAGCAGGAGCAAGCAAGATTGACCTTGAACCGACGACGTCTGCGCGCCAGAAACGCGCGACGGCGGGAAAGGAGACAGACTTCGCCATCAAGCGCTCGCTGGCTCCACCTATAGGACAGAGCCGCCTCCCTCGAGCGTCGAACGCCACACACGGTGCAGGCGCGTCACCCGCGGCGCACCGGGGCCAAGCACGCCGGGATGCTACTTACCACGAGACACTCAGCCCTGAAAATCGCCGCTGCAAGACGGGAATGAGGTGGCGTAAGAGGAGAGAGAGGGGAGGAAGAGGAGGCGGTAAGAGGAGTGTGACGGGAGGAGAAAAAAAGAATAAAGACAGTTAGAGGATGAAGAGGGAATGGGAGGAAGAGTAGAATGATGAAGAGGGAGGGGAAGGAATAGGAGGATGAAGAGGGGGGAGGAAGAGGGGGAGGAAGAGGAGGATGAAGAGAGAGGGGGAGGAGGTATATCCTCGATGGCATCTGCGAGTTTCCTGAAATTGTAAGGTCACTGCAAGGACTCGCTCCGGGCGGTGAGACTCCGGAATGGCGCGGACGCCTATCCCGGAAGCCCGGAGCGTGCTTACCTGTTAAGGGGGAGAGACACAATGTCCTAGAACGATATCCGAATGGGGGATTCCTTTACGTTATCCTAGACTCCAGACTCCTCCCTCTCTCGCTCAGCGCTTCTTACTCCTGATCTCTCCAATTTTATCACAAGTACTCCTAAAGATTCCGGAATATGAGGAATTCCAAATCCATGGATTTGGCTACGTTTCCTCCTCCAATTTTATCCAAGTATCCAGAATTCCGTTTCCTATCCGTGTTTTCTTTAATCCGCATACATGGGCATGTGTCCTTTCCAAATTTAAAGTATCCAAACTCCAACTATCCGTTCTGCTAATCCTCATAAGAAGTTGGATGAGTTTCCAGGGACTTTTGTCCAAAGAGTTCGCATCCAATTATATCATAGTATCCAGAAAGTAAACATCCCTTTCAGGTCCTTAATCCATTCCTTAATCCGCTCCTTATTCCGGGGGAATTCTGTAATATTGGAAATAATATCCTAGTATCCACAGAGGGACCATCACTTTCAGGTCCTTAATCCAATCCTTATTCCGGGGGAATTCTGTAACTTTGGAAAATTGAAAATATCGAGGTTTCCTTCTCCAATTCTATCCTAGCATCCAGAATCCAACCTTCCCTTTATCCGCTGCTTATTCCGAGGACATCGCACAGTCCCATCCCGTGATTCCTTCCGATAAATAATCGCGCTCCCTCTCTCTCCAGTTTAATGCCTTAGCGAGTGCGATGTCTAGATTTATCCTCCCAATGACATCCGACTTTCCGCGAGCCTCTCCTCCAAATCATACAAGTACTCCTCCAAATCCGATCACACGATCCAGTGTGTGAATCTGACAAAAGGAAGTAAAATCAGTTTATTACGAAGAACGAGCAGGCAGGCAGGCGGTAGACAAGTGGGTGTGCGGGTGGGAGGGGTGTGTGCGTTGGAAATGTAGACAAGACACATGAATATTTCAACCTCTAATGACCTTCAGCGGTAAACAGACGAGACAAGGACAACAGACAAAACTTCTATAACAGTTAAAAATCGTTAAAACGCGCCACAAATCCCAACCTTTGACAGCAGTTTCCTAACGCTGATGCTACCTTCGCATCCCAACGCCACCTCAACGCAAAACCGCACATTTCTTCTACACCGACAATGGAATCGAAACGTTACACAAGCTACATGACTCTTTGGAAGCATTTACACGCATTTTTTTCGTGAGACGCTACGACTGATGACGCCGTCGATACAAATTATACTTTCTGTACACACTACTTTAGACAATCCGTGGGTCAGTACGACCTACGATGGAGACAGGGGATCCATCCGACCGAGCAACCCCCTCCACGCGCGCGTGCGTCGTTATTTACACTGGCAACGTATCGGGCGTGGACGGCACCCACGGATACAGAGACTGTGGCGCGCGTACGTCGACACGCGAGGTTATTAGAGCGAGCGTCCACATCTCGCATACTCTCACACAGATCGAACAACCGATGTGGACGGCAACGGGGGGCCAAAAGGACGCGTCTCCTCCAACATTCTCCTTTCTATTCATTTGACATTCTACACGGAACTAGTGAAACCTCCTAAGCAAACAAGTGGATCTACTCTCGCGACGCAAAAACCGGGACCGTCGCGTCGCGCGAGAAAGAACGACTGGTACTCACTCGTAAACGAAAATGCGCGCGGATGTCCGCGACAGAAAAGGGGTGGATGCGCGTGCCGGTTGGAAAATGGAATGTAGTGACTTTGTTTTCGGCAACCCCTCGCGACGACGACGACCGAAACGTGCTCGCGTCGGACGACGACGACGTCGGGGGGGAAGGGGAGAAGGAGAAAAAACGCGCAAGGAGCGATCGCGAAATCGTTTTCGACAGGGCGGATCGAGACACTTACACGTGCCACTGATACGCTAGATGAAGCTGCTGCTGCTGCTGCTGCTAGTGTTCCACCGATGAGACACTTCTCTCTGCGCCGTCGCGGCGACGACCTCCCCTTTACGAGCGTGAGCGGGAGCGGGACCTCCGGGCGGGCGAGTAGCTCGGAGACGCACGGCGGCCGCGCGCCGGCGTGACGCTACGGCTTCGCGACCTTCCTCCGCCACCAGAGGGCGGGCTGCCGCCGCGGTAGTCCTCCTTCACGCGGACGTAGCTCGTCTCCCCCTGAAAGAAACGTCGATCGTTGCGCGTTACGAGTGTGAGATGACGGTGGAGAGAGCAACTTTAATCGACACTGAACCGTGTGGTCGCAAATCCTTATGCCAACACCGTGACCCCCTTCCTTATCTCTCCTGCCTGTCTGTCTGTTTGTCAATCACTCACTCGCTCGCTCGCTCTCTCTCTCTCCCTCTCTTTCTTGCACCCTCCCTCCCTCCCCCCTCTCTTTCTATCCAACCTCCCTCTTTTCTCTACCCTTCCCTCCCTCCCTCCCTAACACCCTCTCATCTCTCTCTCACCTCGTGCGACCTGAACTTGGAGTCGTCTAGCTTGCGTACGGCATACTTCATGTCCTCGCTGCGCAGGAACTCGACGACGCCCGTGCCGTCCCGGTACACGTCCGCGTAGCACACATCACCCGCCTCCCGCATGTGGTCCTTGAGGTCCTGCCAGCTGCCAGTCGGCGGCAGTCCTGAAAGACAAGAGAACGGCTGCGCTCAGGACAATAGAACGACATTCTACAGAACGGCTGCACTCAGAACAAGAACAAAATTAGCATTGATCTTAAAACGTTTAGCAATTAAATTTATTCTTGTAGACTGATGCCAGAAATATCGTAAAGTTACACATTGTATAGGTACACATGTAGGTCCAGCCTACAGAAGTTTTTAATTTTACGAATTTTATTTTTCACAACAGGATATCTATCCTTCATGGTATTAATTGAGACTAGCTCAAGATAGAAGATCAGTAACATGTTCGCTATTAGGTGAAAATATGTTTCTATATATTTTTCCTGATTGTGCATGTATTTACGACTTAGTATTTATGTTTATCTGATTGTGCATGTATTTACGACATAGTATTTACGTTTTTCCGAGTGTGCATGTATTTAAGACATAATTCCTTTACTCGAGAGTTAAGCTGGTGACAGATGAGAGACACTCACCCGTGACGATGACGCGGTAGTCGGAACGTCGCGAGGGAGGGCCTGACCGCCTCCCACCGCCGCGGTCGCCCCCTCCTCCCCCGCGCCCGTAGCCGCCGCCGCCGCCGCCCCCACCCCCGCGTCCTCCCGGCCCACCGCCCCCGCGCGGGAACTCCACTCGTAGCTTGTATCCGTCGTAGTCGTATCCGTCCCTCGAGTGAACGGCGTCATCCGCGTCCCTGGTTGGAGAGAAAATGCGGATGGAATCACAACGTCGACGACGAGGGCAGCGTGGAAAACAAAGTTCCAGTTAAGTTTCCGATAAAAATACTGATTACTAGTAACAGGGTAGTTACGGGCACATAGGCCTACGGTATTCTCGAAGTGTAGTTTTTTCATTCACAGTGGCTATATGCCCGGCAGCCGGCGTATATCTGACGGCTGCCGGGCACGGTCTTCGATTTCTTAAATGCCCGGCAGTTTTTAATTTTTAGCGTTATCTCAAGTAAACAAGGGTTAGGGTTAGAGTTAGGATTAGGGTTAGGGTTAGGGTTAGGGTTAGGGTTAGGTTTAGGGCTAGAGTTAGGGTTTTTGTTAGGTTTAGGGTTAGGGTTAGAGTTAGGGCTAGAGTTAGGGTTTTTGTTAGGTTTAGGGTTAGGGTTAGAGTTAGGGTTAAGAACTGCCGGGCATTTAGGAAAACGAAGACCGTGCCCGGCTGCCGGGCATATAGCCACAGCGTTTAGGAAAACGAAGACCGTGCCCGGCTGCCGGGCATATAGCCACAGCGTTTTTCATTAGCAGACTGAGATTGATTGGTTTTCTACCGGCTACGCCGTTTTTTTACCCTTACCTCGAATCCTCGAACTCCACGAAAGCGAAAGGCGGACCGCGTCTGTTCTTCACGTCGATGAAAACTATTTTTCCGTACTTATAGAATAAATCCTCAATGTCCTTCGAACGAATATCCGGAGGAAGATTTCCCACGTAGATGCGGCAGTCGTTGTTCCTCATTCTTCCTCCACCGTCCCGTCCATCCCTTCCGTCCCGTCCGTCCCGCCCGTCCCGGTCAGACATAATCAAATATATAGAATGGAATTTAAAGATGTAACGTTACCCTTTCTTTTGATCGAGTTATCAAAGCTAGATGCTTTCAGATGTATTAAGCAAGTATTCGATTCCAAATCAGATTTCAACACAAAGACAAAACGAAGATAGGATAATGGAGGACTCGCCACGCTAACAAAAGCGCCACCTAGCGGAAAATGTCACGTGCTTAGTGAACACGTGCTGGAAAAGCAGGGCTTTTATTTCTACGAAAACTTCGAGCAAAAAGCTTGAGAGCAAAAAAATTCGAAAAAAAAACAACGAAAATTGCAGATTACCATAATTTATGTGTATTAAATAAAGCCAAGGTGCCTATGGCCCTATACCCCCGAAATTTCAAGCAGCAAATATAAAATGAGGCAAAAATGAATTATTTTAACATTGCACGTTTGTACTTGCCTATATATATGTGATAGGTAAAAAAATTGCTCAGGAATACGTTAATTCAAAGCTTTTAGATTACAAAGTGAAAGTGTCGGGCCGAATGTTTCAAACAGCGTTTACTTTTGCCGCTCTGCAGCAATGTTATGACGTATTACCTCGTCATCAATAAATGAGCCGAAGTCATAGAACCGCCATTATACAGAACCGCAGCAAAAAGCGATTTTTGAGTTGTTTTCGTTGAGCAAATATATAGGCTTGATACATATTTTTACAGTTTCATTTTCAAAGATAACGTTCACAAAAAGTGCGTGGTCGACGACATCTTTAATAAAAAAAAAACAGAACAGGCTAGATAATTATGCAACCGTTATAAATATAATATATAATAAAGCTAGCTGACTCGTTATTAAATGAAACTACACTGAAACAATGGCATGCTGCTAAATCTGAATTATTGCGAGTTTGGCGTTCCCGCTAATGAGATATGAACATACAGATTGTGAGTGCAAACTTTTTAGGCACCACAAACATGTGATGGGCTTAAAAATCTCTTATTCACCACAAACGGATTGTTGGAGCACAAGTTTTGCAACCACAAACAGTTGGCGGGCCTGAATAATTTTTAACCACTACAAACAGTTTGTGGGCCTAAAATGTCTTAGCCACCACAAACATATTGTGGGTAAAATTCCGCAGAATCCTCAAATCCTATAAATCTCTATGATATTATTTACTCCTGCAATATTATTGGAGTGGATATATGGTTTCCCACTGCATGGGTAAACATCAGGTTTAGCGTCGTAAATTAATTTGCAAACGCCACCGCCAGATGGCGCTACGCGGTCTAGCTGAGTTTCGTGCGTAGCAGTGGAACATCGTCAGCACTCTCGTAGTTCTAGTACAGGGTAGCGAAGGAGCAGTGTAGGGAGGGGGAGGAGGAGGGGGGAGGAAGTTTAGAGTAGTACTAGTAGGTGGAGTAGGGAGAAGCTAGTGAAGAATGAGGAGGGGAGAAGTTGGTGGAGAAGGAGGGGGAGAAGGGAGCTGGTGGAGGAGGAGGGGGAGAAGGGAGC